TCCATAATCAAGCACCATATATAATTAACATGCGAAATACTTGCAATTATTTTATTAAAGCAAAAAATATATCAACTGTATAGCTGAAAATATTTTAATTTTTTATTTAAATTTAAATTTAAATTTAAATTTAAATTTAAATTTTTTAATTTTAATTTTAATTTTTAATTTAAATTTCTAATATTTAATTTAATTTTTAATTTTAATTTTTAATTTTAATTTTAATTTTAATTTTAATTTTAATTTATTTTGATATTTTAATTTTAATTTTTCAATCTTCTATATTTTATCCAAGTGAAATTACTTCTTGTTGGCTTTTTACTCCAAGAAACACATAGAAAACTTTTTCTCACATCTAATATAATTATACATTATTGCCTCGAAAATTAGCTAGTGAGAATATCGTGTTGTTTTAGAAACGATATTTTTACATTCAATTTTTTATATTCCATGCAATCAAACATCAAAATACTTTTAATGAAACAAATTAATAAAATAAATAGAAATAAATACATTAATAGGAGAGAATCTAGTAGCTGACGAAATCACGAATATAAAAATTCGTCTCACACAGTACACGCAGTGTTTCACTGTAAGTTTCGCAACTTTAGTCTTTCAATTTGAATTGGTGCGACCCGTCACGTCTCGGGTCGCGAATTTTCCAACGAGTTCATCCTGTAATTTCGTTACTACGTCTAGTTCGTCTAACGAAAAAGTTGCTCTTAAAGTTACAGCTTTACAGCGTAAAATTACGCCATCATCGTTGTTTCCGCTGCAAGAGCGGAAAGGGGAGAGGGGGAGAAAAAAAGAATAAAAACAGAGAGAAAGAGAAAAGAGAAAAACTCGCATCTTGTTGCTCCTTTGCTTCCTTTGTCACACGTGTCAACCGAGCGCGATTGTCGATAATCCTTCTCTAGGCCTTTCGAGACACGATTCCGGACCGTTTTTATCAGAACAGGTCGCATGAAAGTCCGATAATTCAATTTGCGGTCGCAGCGATTTCCGTCCTCATGAACCCTACCACCTCTAGCCTACCGTACACCGTCGTGGGTTATGTACGAGGACATATGCGTCGTTAATAATGCTCCCGCGCGTCTAGTTTTATATCGTACATGTTAATCAACAATCTCGTTACGAATTCAGTTCCCCTCGGTGCGGGCCTCTCCCCTTCTTCTCCTCCCTCGCACATAGCAGTCGATAATAATCCTACGTGAGGATTCCTGGAAATTTGCAGAGCATACATTTTAATGCAATTAGTACACACAATCAAAATCTATTTAATGGAATGAAAATTTATACGATTTATTTTACAGCCGCGCCGAAGAGAAACAAAGGCGGATGAAACGCACGCGCATTTCCGGGAAATTCGAGGGAAGATACGGGTGACAAAGGCTGGATTAAAGCGAGAAAATGCGACGAGCACTCGCGGCGCATCGCGATTCGAGACGTCGAGACAATGCCAGGAGCATAAGATCGGGAGGAAGGAGTCAGGTGAGAAAGAGAAGAGGACCCTTCGCTCCTCTCATCACCTCCCTCCCCCCTCGCAATGTCTAAATAGGTTCCTTCCGCGTTAGCTTCGCTCGCGAATCTTACTTTTCGCTCTCGCGTAGTTAAGGGAGAGGAATATTCCACTTCTCCAATGCTCGGAAGGGGCGCGAATATTCCCGGATCTCCCACAATTTTCCAGAAGAATGTCCCATTCCACCCCTATCCACCCCTCATTAGAGCCGATGCGAATCGAATTTCGTACCGTATATCGAGGGATTTCCCTCGGAAACTTATTCGCGCGCGTATCACCGGGAACAGATTGATAGCCGGGATCTTTTCCGCATCTTTTCTCGAATCTTGCGTGACAATTGCAAGGATATACAATTCTTTTCTCATTTTCCGCAGCATCGCGTTCCCTCTTTTCTCTCTCCCTTCATTCTCTTATAGCTCCAAAATTAAGGCGATTAACGTTTCAAGAGCTGCTTTGAAAAAAAACATATATTTTCTTAAATTAGCTTATTTTACAATTATAAAAATTAAAAAGAACTCAGAAAATGTTTAATCTGCTAATTTTGATGAAATACCAAGAAACGAAAAATACAAAAACTAAAACATTCTAGAAACTGCGAAGCATTTGCGATATCCATAACAAAAAGTTTACTCTTGCATTGTTTAAATGTTATAATTTTGAACGTTAATACAAACGAAAAAGCACTACAAAATACAAACATTCTAAAGATGCAAGCATTTGAGATATAATGTCTGTCATTTTTTTCATTTTTATATTTTAGAATAAAATACAAACGAAATTATGTTCTAAAATAAATCAAATGCTATCGTTTTTTATTAAAATTAATTTTTAAATTCGATGAGTTCAATAGTTGATCAAACGAGAAAAGATATTTGAAACTATTAAAGTAGAAAAAAATAAAATGATAAAGAAAAAACAAAAATTAGAAAAAAGAAAAGATATTACATGTGGTACTAATTATTAAATGACATAATAGTTCAAAACTTATTAAATAAAGAACATTAAGTCTGTATATGTGAAGTATAGATCAGTTAGAGATCAGAAGAACTTCAATAACTTATAAAATCGAGAATAAATCAGTTCATAAAGAATAAATGTTTAGATTAGTGAAATAATATCATCATAAAGATTGACAATTATAATAAATAAAATAAAAAATTGTGTCTAATAATGTTGATTAAATAAAAAATAATTGAAAATAAAATGTCTTTTAAAAGTATCGGCAAAATTGTTAAGTTAAAAATTTTGAAATATTTAAAAAATGATTTTTTCAAAGTCTTATTAATTACATAACTTAATAATTCTGAATATTGTAAATATATAAATAAACAAATTAGAAAATACATATTTGAATACGATTAATAAAATTACATAATACGTCTTAAACACGACATACTATAATTGCCTAAAAGAATTGTTTCAAAAATAAATTATTTTATCATGAACATTCATTGTCATACCGATTATTTAACAAATAGAATAAACATAAAAAAGAAAATTCGAATGTTTTTTATAAAAAATTTGACAAACATAAATAAAAATAATTTAAAAAACATTTATAAATAATAAATTGTCTAGTCTTTTTCTTGTTCATGGAGAGTTAACATGAAATCTGACGAAGTAATCTGACGAACTTATTTCTCACGATAGAATAATTAACTAAATTACTGTATGTATATAACTTGTTGTCTTTTTTATTTCAAAATCATGTAATTTATTTTTTGTTTGTAATACTGAAATAATTTTATTTTGTAGTTCACTCGAAAAGGACTAAAACCTATGGTCGAAACGTTGTGATTTTTTACCTCAATAAAATTGCCAGTGTGGTCGATTTTAATTATGTCTTTTATAAAAATAAAATATGTTTCAAATATGTTTTACGTTCTGGAAAGAGAATTCGCGTCATCATTATCGTTTACAATTGTGTAAATATATAAATTGATAATTTCTTTCATAGTATATAAAAAATATAATATATATAATAAATATATTGAAGATAAAAATTAAATTAAATTAAAAATGAATTTAAAAAATCAAGAAGCCTCTGAATACATAAATTCAATTCAAATAATAATAGATGCCAAATAAACCGATGGTCATCTGTCATTTTCACAGAAAATTAATTTTCTTATGAAACTGATTAGTGTGCTGAATTTTTTTTTGGTATCAAATAAATATATAAATTTCAATTCGAGATTCTTAGTCTTAATGACTACTTATGACTACTAATGATTACTATGATTCTTAGTGACTACTCAGGAGCTTAAAATATTTTATATATGTATACAGGGTGACCCATTTTAACTTAGGCAGCCAAATAACTCGAAAAATAAGCACACTACGAAAAAATGGTTAGAATCAAAATTTCGTCATTTCGAGGGGGACGTACAATGACGTTAAAATCAGCCCCCCCACCCCTCCCTCTGGGCGGTGAGGGGAGGCAAGTTTGAAATCTTAAATGGAACCCCCTATTTTTCATTGCATATTCTTGTAGCTTATCTCGAGAGCTTTCCAAAACACTATAATTAAGTACCTTTTTATTAAGTATTTTTTGAGTTATAAGGCTTGAAATAATTTCTTAATTTTACATAAACCATAAAATATCTAGTAAACCATTCATTTTTCAATTATCTTACCTTCATACTTTTATGTACAAAATAATGAGAGAAATCAATTGGTGTAAAGAAAACACATAGTTGTTTCTAAGAAAAAATATGTAATTTGCAATTAACAATTCCATATTTTTTCTTAAAAACAACTGTATGTTTTCTTTACACCAATTGATTCCTCTCATTATTTTGTACATAAAAGTATGAAGGTAAGATAATCGAAAAATGAATGGTTTACTAGATATTTTATGGTTTATGTAAAATTAAGAAATTATTTCAAGCCTTATAACTCAAAAAGTACTTAATAAAAAGGTACTTAATTATAGTGTTTTGGAAAGCTCTCGAGATAAGCTACAAGAATATGCAATGAAAAATAGGGGGTTCCATTTAAGATTTCAAACTTGCCTCCCCTCACCGCCCAGAGGGAGGGGTAGGGGGGCTGATTTTAACGTCATTGTACGTCCCCCTCGAAATGACGAAATTTTGATTCTAACCATTTTTTCGTAGTGTGCTTATTTTTCGAGTTATTTGGCTGCCTAAGTTAAAATGGGTCGCCCTGTATACATATATAAAATATTTTAAGCTCCTGAGTAGTCACCGCAGCCATATTAAAATCGTGACGTCAGAAGCGAGAAAACGCATAATTTGACAACTGTTGAGAAGAGTAGAAAAAAAATTTTTTAAATGATTAAAAAAATGATAAAAAAAAGAAAAAAAGAAGAAAAAAAGAAAAATAGAAGCAAAGAAACAGGAGAATTTACATGTGTGTGCATACATAATATAAATATAAAGTGGGACATAATAAAGCTCAACAACTTATAAAAATCAAAGAATCATTAAAAGTCTGTATCAGTGATGCAGAGTCATCAGATCAGTTAGCAGAGTCAAAGAGCAGAACTTCAACAACTTATATAAATCGAGGAAACATCAGAATTAGTTCATTAATAGAATCAAACAGCTTTGAGATTGGAAGGTGAGAATAATATCATCATAAAAGAGTTTTGGACGACAATGATAATCAGGTAAATAAAATAAATCTTACCATATTTGTGTCTAATAATTGTTCGGTTTTATGCAATAAATAAATAAAAATTTAAAAAATTATGAAAATATAAAACTGTCTTTTTAAGGAATATTGTTATCGGCAAAATACATTTGTCTTTAAGTTATAAAAATTTTTGAAAAAATTATAAAAAAAAAGATTTTTTTGCAAAGTTCTTATTTAATTATTCATAAACTATAATATTTTATTCGTAGAAATATTTGTAAAAATATATAAAACAAATAAAGCAAAAATTTGGAAAATATTCGTTAGAAAAATTTATGTTGAAGATACTTGTATTTAATACCTATCTTTAAGTATTGATATTCATACACAATACGTACATTACATACACAGACACACTCATACATTGCTCCTATTTTAAAAATTGATTGAAGGAAATTAACATATTCCTTATTCTCTAGCATAACATTTAATCTTAATATTCGATAATCTATTGAACGAACTGTGTGCCACAAACTAAGAGCAAATAATTACATAACAGCAAAGATAATATTTATGTGTTGTTCTTTTGGATTATAAAATCATATATTATGATCAAAATCAAATAAAAATAATTTATATAAAATAATTTATAAAAATAATTTATACCTCTTCTGAATAAAATTTTCTTCTTATGTGAGACGTTTGCGATAGAATATCTGTTATATAAGTCCTCGCTTTTTACGACAATGAAAATGCTAATTCATATACATATACTGATATAAATAGCTGATGAACATATACTGATATAAATAGCTGATAGCTATGTAGATATTATAGCTTAAGAATTTACTTTTTAATAGCAAATCGCTTGTTTTGTACGATATGTTGTGTAACTGAATATTAAAAATATATTTCAATATTCTATTAATATACATCATATCTTACAAAACAAGTATTACTGTCTATTAAAATGCAAATTTTAAGATTACGTAAAATAGTATTATATATCTTTAAGTATCAAATCCTACAATATAACTAGTATCAAAAATTTTTTCTCCTTTTCTCTTTTATACTGCCTATAAATATATTACTTAAATTTTTCTAAGAGACAGAAAAAAAGAGAAAGTAAGAAAACGAATCAATTCTTATTTTACTTTTATCTAAAATATATATTATTAATATTTAATATGTATTACTAACTTTCCAGAATTATGGCGAAAATATTCGATGGCATGCTTCTTCTGATAGAAATATTATTTCTTATTTTAAAAGTTTTTTATTTTTTTTGGGAGAGCATATTCACAATGTTTATTCCAATAACAAAAAGAAGCGTAGCTGGTGAAATAGTTTTGGTGCGTGGAATTCATACAATATGCATAAATAAAAAAGCTGTTTTTTCTATACTAATATATTCAATTTATAAAATTAATATGTGTAAATATGTTAACAAATTTATCTTATCGAAACATTATTTCGTCTTATAAATTATTCTATCAAATAGCAAACCAACTTGAATTAAAAATTAGTAAATTGTAAACTATCGAATATTCATGATAATATTTGTAACTATATATAATATATAATAATAATATATAACATGAAAATATATAATGATACTTAATACATTTATTGCGATAGATAACATGTGCAGATCATGGTATCGGAAAAGAATTAGCGATTGGTTATGCATCGTTAGGAGCAACAGTCATATGTTGGGATATTAATGAAGAAACTAACTATCAAACAATGAACGAGATTAAAATGATGGGGAAAGGCGCTGTATACGCATATCAGTAAATCAATGTTACTTGATTTTATAAAATAAAAAATAATAAGTAAAGTTCGAATAGTTTACGCGCATACAATTAATTACAATTAACAACACATATTTTTACTACTATCGTTGATTAAAAATTCGAGAAAAATTTTTATAGGTGTAATGTAGCGGACAGAAAAGAAGTCTTTAGGGTAGCTGAAAAAGTGAGAAAAGAAGTTGGCGACGTTACTATTTTAGTCAACAATGCGGGTATAGGATTTTGCAGAGCACTCTTAAATAACAGTGCCGATAAAATTACACGAGTTATAGATGTCAATTTAAAATCGCATTATTGGGCAAGTGATATATTTGAAATACACACACATAGCAATTATAAAATATATACACATAGATATATATAATATAAAGCCTATATAGCATTATAGTCTTATGTATATAAAATAATTAGCAATATAATTTACATTATTCTTAGAAATAGAGATAATACTGAAAATTAATTTACCACATTCACAATTAAAATAAGTTCAAAACACTAAATAAGTATATTCACATGTATACATACACATGCATGCACGTGTAATTGTTCTCAACGAAATCTTTAGACGTTGCAAGCATTCCTACCAAGTATGATTGAAAAGAATCATGGTCATATTGTGGCAGTCTCATCATTAGCAGCATTTAAAGGCGTTGCACATGGTACGGTTTATTGTGCCACAAAATCAGCGATCAGAGGTAATTCAATCTTATTATAGTCTTATTCGTATGTCTAATTATTAACCTTTGCTTCAAGATATTTTAGTGATACTTTTGCTAAATATAAATAATTTTATTATAATCGACTGCTATATAGTTAAATTGTTTCTATATATATCAAAATCAAAGTCAATCTCTTCATTGTCGAAAAAATCAAAATCTTTAAAATATTTTTCTTTTTATATTCTTTAGTTGTGATACAAAATAATATGTCGCCGTAGCGGCGCCTATGGAGTGCAAAGGGTTATGTAATATAATATAATGTAATATAATATAATATAATTGTAAATTGACGAATATTATGCGAATATAAATTCAAGATGAAAATAAAAATACAATTACAGAGTATATTTTTCTAATATTCTTTTCATATGCGTATTATAGCACTGATGGAAGCTATCAGCGATGAATTACGTATACATAGCAAAGGAAAATCTTTGATTAAATTTACTACCGTCTTTCCGACCTTAATACTTACTGGAATTCTCAAAAATCCAAGATTAAGGTACATTTATATAATAATATAAAATTAATAAATTGTAAATAATATTTCTTAATAACGATAAATATATGTAAATATATAAATTATAATCTTATTCATATGTATATATTTTGTAAATCAGCATATTCGACAAATATAATTAGAGTTTTTTATTAGCATTAGATCTTATATACATTTATATTGAAAAAAATGTTTTAAGTAATAAAATATAAAATAATAATTATTTTGATAAATAATTTTATTTTATTTGTCAATGATAGATTTGCAAGTATAATGAAAGGGCTTACACCACAGGAAGCAGCTTCACTAATAATTGATGCACAAAGACAGAATTTCCGAGAAAGAAGTATACCTTCATATTGGCTGTCGATATCGCGTTTATTAGGGTAAATGGCAGTAAATAAAAATTCAATCATTAAATGCATAGATTTTCAAATAAATCATAGTTACATATGCCAATAAGCTGCAAGGCAATTCATAAATCGCTAATAAATCGCAAATATTATTGTACCATGTTCATATTATTTCTGTACATTTTCTATAATGAAAATAATATTTTAATTTCAGATTGATACCCAACAAAGCATTTAATTGCATTTACGATTTCGTAGATTTCGGCTGTGATATAGAAAATTAAAGAATAAAATATATATATATATATATATATATATATATATATTTATATAATGATGTACACCGGCCCATATTTTTTCCAAATTCTCTAATATATATATATATATATATATATATATATATATATATATATATATCTTTCAATATATGTATTACTCTGAATTTGTTATTTGTGTCTTGCACATTCAAAATATTAAAAATATTATTATTTTATAATTATAATTATTATAATCATAATAATTATTATAACCATTATAATTTTATTATAATTTTTCAATTTATAAAATAAATATCTTTTGTAGCAAATTACTGTTATTTAAAATAAAAAAATAATTAAAATAATTAAAAAATAATTTCAATATTTTTTTTAATAATTTTATGTACATATTTTATATAAAATGTTTGAATGTAAAATATGTGAAATTATTTCCATTTGATAATATGAAAGATAAAATTTATTACAACCTTTCATATTTAAGTTAGAATAACTTTAGATTTGAATAAATTTAATACATTATCAAAATACTACATCAATAAATAAATAATTTTTTATTCATTATCACATTCTAATTTAACGAATTGATTTCTTTATAGTATAAAATGATAATAATTCAAATAAACTGTTGTAGAGTTCCATAAATTTTTATTTGTTATAATGATTTTAAGAATCGTAAAAATATAAACTCGTGAGAATATCGAAGATAAAATTAATATACTACATATAGATAAATTTTGCAATTAGCCATTTAATTCAACAACTCTGATGAACTTTATTTATATCTATATATAATATAATAATATTAATATCTATCATTTTATATTCCACATTTCTTTCCTTTATATTTTTCATTTTCTTATCTACAAATATCTATGCTACAAATATCTATGCTACAAATGTAAATCCGTTTTTAACATAGGCATAGGGTCGAATCGAACATTATTATTACTCTTTTTTCATAATGTAATACAAATTAAAATTTAATATATGTGAAAACAAACTACACAAACACAAATTAAATAAATTTCAATCTTATTTTAATTCATAATAATTTTGTAATTTACATATAGAATTTTTATGCAAAATAAGTTAAAAACAAAATTTAAATAATAAGATTCATTAAGCTATTTGAAAGATTCATAGAGAAATCAGTAGTATGCGCATTAATTACGATAAATTCTGATAAATGCGAATTTTTCTTGATATTAATATGTAATTGAATTAAATGATTGAGACATGATATTTTTATGTTAAAAATACTTTTTAATTTTGGTATTTTCATATCTTTGAATTTTTTTAATAAACTTCGTTTTAAAAAAAGAATTAAAATATTTTATTTAACAATAGCAATCCCACTTTATATATACTTTTATTAATGACTATATTTTTATTAATATATTAATATAATTCCATAAAAAATGTGAAAGTTTTCATTTCATTATAACTATATATTTTAAAATTTAATGAAACTTAGTGTAGCAATATAACATATACTACATATTTTATGTATCGTAACTCAATAACCAACTATCATAATAACCAACTATTCCACATTGGAAATAAATGGCGTAACATATTTGTATCAATAAAAAACTTGTATTAATAATTCATATATTAATAAAATCTGTTCTATATTCCTGTTAATATCATAATTTCTTCTGTATTAATACCTAAATATAAATTCTCTAAAAAAAACGGTATAAAGGTATACAAGATATGAAAAGTGTGTGGAGATCGGTGGAGCAATTTACAATAGCGGTTCTGAATGAATTTTTGCGCATACATATTTCACTGTTATCGTAAAAACGCTGCGGTGGACAAGATAAAATATCGAAGTACAGTGTGTTATCTTTCACGCCACCGTTAACGCACCGGCGACGTCTCGTAAATATTCCGGATGAAACTTTGCGCTCCCATGCGTAAAATTAGAAATTAGAAATTATTATACGTTATTATAAATTATTATAAAATTAGAAATTATTATACGCGTACGGAAAATTTTTCTAAGAAGCATTTTCCTTCCGCGAAAAGGAAGGTATTGGTATTTGACGCTGATCGTCGCGATATAAACTTCACCCGCGAAACTCTATAACATCCTTATCGAATTAAGAAAGTTTCGTCCTTGCGACATTTTTTACAAATATTTCGCATTCGCAATAATTTAATTCGTGTTTCATTCAAGATAAGCGTCCTGAATAGCGGAAAGATAAAATTCTGCGATTCGTAGGGAGAATATTTCCTCTCGATATTTTGCTGCAAAAAAAAACTTGCCATCTCTCAGGAATAATTTTAGGAGCTGGATTAGCCGGCATTTCGAGGACTGGATGCTTAAAAATGAAGTAGATGAGCACGAAGTAAAATTTCGAAAGAATCCACGTATGTTGAGAGGAAAGTTAACTCTTCTTCCTCTGTATCGAGGATGCACTCGATACAGTGATTTAAGGGGAACCTTTATTTTTCCCAACGCTCGAAACGGTGAATGATTACATCCGGTAAACTACATGACTCGAATGCTTATAGAGTACTCCAAATGGCAGAGATCGATCATTACGTCAGACTGTTCCCGTAACACTGATAACTTGGATATAAAAAAAATATGTATTTTATATCCATTCACATTGATTGAAATTCAAGGATAGCATGTGAGAGATATTACGGAGATTCCTCTAAAAGAATTTTACTAAATGATCTTATAAAATTCTCTCCAATAAACGAGAATATTAAATTATCACGTCGACATCATTTTACAAAAATATGTCCCAATTTACGCGAAATGTTGTAATTTTTCAAATATTTGGAAATGTAGAGGAAAAAATGAGGAAATTTTACTCTACTGTTTTAAAGTTATCATTAAACACGATGAATGTGAGTAAAGTTGAATGGAAAGAACTTTGGATATAAGATAGTTTTAAATATTTAAAAGCAGTCGTTACTAAAGATATTAATATGGAAAATTTAATATCATGCACAGGGAATATATGTAAAGTGGAAAACATGTTCTCTATTTTTAATATTTCCCATTTTTCTACAACTAATTGAAATAAAATTGAAAAGGAGATTATTAGATGTTAAGATATTATTTAAATTTTATTTCTCCTTAAAGTCATTTCGAGATCGTATCGAGATATAACACCTATTACGTTTCATACACGATGACCGAATAATTTGGATCGATTTGGGGCCGCAGACAAAAACGACCGCTAGCACTTGTCAACGCGACTGTTTCCATTACAATAATCATAATGATAATAGGCAGTCGAATTTGACAGCAACGAGACGCAAAGTACGATGATCATACTTGTCGACGGCAAACTTTCTAATTGAGGACGCCGCTCGTTAAACTTACTCGCATCTGCCGCGAGGTGCATTCGCTAATTAACTCAGTATTTTTTTTTCCGAGTTTCGACCAGACTCTCTCCAATCTCAAATTGGCTCCCCTCTTTCGCGAGGAATTAAGTATATTTGATCGAATCTCGTAATTAATTAGAGAGAGAGAGAGAGAGAGAGAGAGAGAGAGAGAAAAGGAGAAAGAGAGAGGGTCTCCTACACTCTGTCTAACATAATAAATGTTCTGCGAAATAGAAATGGAATCTCATCGCATTTTGCAATGCAAATCGGGAAGAGACCAAAGATCTCGCTCTTCCCGGGGATGACAAGCCTGGATCAAATACCAAAATAATTCTACTATGTCGGGAATAACGTTACGCCAATATTTTCTCTGCCGCGTAAAATCGCAATTTGCCAGACGAAGGAACCTTTAATCATCGCGAAATTGAACGCGAAATAAACGTTGCATTGTACATTTAACATCGCGACGCGTGAAAATCCCAGTTACAATAGCAACTCGAAAGTCGAAATATAATCAGGATTCATTTTGCGCGGGAGGAGAAAATGCGGTAGCGCGTTTCGCGCAATCTTATCCCGCCCGCGATGTAATTAAAATGTCAACGCAGCAGGAGCCAACACGCCCCGTGTGTATGCTGCACACATATATTGTCTATATACATGGTGTCTGATAAATATTGGACCAATGCTCATGCGAGTAAAGAGCAGTAAAAGGAGGAACAGAAAAGTCCTTTAACATTTTGCAATTTTTGCGATAATTATTGTAATATTAATTAAAAAGAATTGGCAATCATGTGACATTTATCAAACACCATATATGTATGTATGTATGTATGAATGTCCCGTGCCGTATACAGGGTGTCCCAGTTATCTTCCGTCATCTTTCAAAGATAGATTCCTGGGATCATTTAAAGACGATTTTTCCTCAGCGAAAATGTCAATGAAGGCCATCATTTTTTGCATGTTCTCGATTTCTGTCATCATATATCTTTGCAATTAAGTGTTAAATTAAAACTCAACTAAAGTAAACTCTATTTAAAATTAATCGAAGAATGTGGTTTTGTTAATATTTTATTTCTACAAAGCTTAGTTTACGAAAAACCCCTTATTTCCAATCACTTATAATTCGAAAATTATTAGTGCCTCGATATTTTCGTTGAGGAAAAATCGTCTTCAGATGATCCCAGGAATCTGTCTTTGAAAGATGACGGAAGATAACTGGGACATTCTGTATATGGGGCTTTTACAGTTTGTTCTCTCAAATCGGCGCGACAAAGAGCTCGACGACGATGGTCGGGATCTGTGCCAAAAAGCGTCGAAAAGAAAACAGACTTTCCCGAGCAGCATTGTTTGAGCATGTCGTCCCGATGCACCAGGAGTCGCGACTGATATGCACGGATGTCCCGACATTGGAGAAACCGCGTCGGGGATCATCCGATATTCCAGGTACGATTTTCGAATGGATCAAGAAAAGAATCACGGTACCTGCTTTTAACATTTTAACGATATTCCGTCGTCAAAAATTCCACGTCGATAACTGTTATGGTGTCTCGAAAGTAATTTCAACTGGGAGATACGCAGGATGCACTTTAATACGTCACGAAAGAAGTGAAATATTTTTCTAAAGTTATAAAAGATGCGTAATTAAAAATTATAGGATTGCTGGAGACAAAGCTTGTTATCGTACGCAAGGCATATATTTTTCAAAAATTGTCTCCTCCTGGAAG